ATGAAATCTCCCCATGGCTCAGGAGGCAAAGACTTGGGAGGATGATGGATGGAAGCCAATCGAAGCAAAAAGTAAGTGAGACACCTATCTCTACTAGTAAAATTAGCATGGTGTTGCACACCTGCGTTCCAGCTACAGGAGGTAGAAACAGGAGGATCATAGGCTGGAGGCAAGACTCAAGTGGTACAACATCTGCTAGCAAGCACAAGGCACTGAGTTTAAACCCTAGTGCCACCAAAAAGAAACAAACCAAAAAGTCGTATGAAATCTCAAGAGACCCTGAATAGTCAAAACAATCTTGAAAAACAACTAAGATAGAAGAGTCATAATGTCAAAACTTCCTTATGTCAAAACTGACTACAAAGCTAGATATCAAAATAGTGTGCTACCCACATAAAGACAGATATTGAGGACAATGAACTACAGAGCCAACATGTAAACTCTCCCACATATGGCCAAAGAATTTTTGACAATAGCACCAAGACTATTCAATTGTGAAAGGACAGCCTTCTTGATAAATGGTGTTGGGAAACTGGACATCCACTTACACTCACAAAAGAATGAAGGTTAAGTCAGGCACGGTGACTCATACCTATAATCCCAGCTACTCCGGAGGCAGCCTGGGCTAAAAGTTCATGAGACCCCATCTCAACCAGTAAAATGCTGGGTGTGGTGGTTCATGCCTGTCATCCCAGCTATGCAGAAAACTTAAATAGAAGGACTGCAGCCCAGGCATAAATACAGGACCTTCTCTCAAAAATAACCAAAGTAAAAAGAGCTGGGGGCATAATACAAGTACCACAAAAAAAAAAAAAAAAAAGGGTCGTAGAAATGACCCCAACATTGTATGCACATATGAATGAAAGGAAAAAAAATAAAAATAAACAAATTAAAAATGGACCACACAGACCCAAACACAGAAGTTAAAACAATAAAACTCTTAAAAGAAAAGACAGAGAGAAAGCTCAGTGACACTGGATTTGGAAATGACTTGTGTGTGCTACTGGGGTTTGAACTCAGGACTTCATGCTTGGTAGGAAGGCACTATACTACTTGAGCCACACCTCTGGCCCATGATTTCTGAAGTATCATTGTGCTCCTAAAAACAAGGGCAATAAAAGAAGAAAGAAATTGGCCTTCATCAAAAGTAAAAATTTCTGTGCATCAAAGGATACTATTAATAGAGTAAAAGAAGCCCACAGAATGGAAGAAATATATGCAGATAATTTATCTGACAAGGACTTTATGGAAAACATAAAAAGAACTGTAATTCAATAACAAAAACCCCAAAACCCAAACAACAAAACTGAAAACTGGGCAACGGCCTTAAATAGGCATAACTCCAAAGAAGATGTAAACTGGCCAATAGTTATACGAAAAGATCATTAATAACACTAGTCATCAGGAAAATGCAAATCAAAATCACAAAAGTACCATTAAGGTGGCTTTACCAAAAACAAAATAGAAAACAATAAGCAATGGTAAGGATGTAGAGAAACTGGAACCCTTGTGCATTACTAGTAGGAATATAAACTGGTAAGATACTTTTATAAAAAGTACAGAAATTTCTTTCAAAAATTAAATAGAATTGCCATGATTCTGCAATTCTAATTCTGAGTATACACCCAGAACTATATAAAAGCAGGGATTCAAATACTTATACACGCATGCTTATAGCAGTATTATCCATACTATTCACAAAGTGAAAGCAACCCAAGTGACCAGTGACACATGAATGGCTAAACAAATGTTGCATGCATGCATACACACACACACACACACACACACACACACAGAGGAGTATTTTTTAGCCTTCTAAAGAGAGGATTTTTTTGGGGGGAGGAGGAATATTGGATTTTGAAGTGGCTTCACACTTGCTAGCATTATCACTTGAGCCACTCCACCAGCCCTGTTTTGGTTGAATAATTTTTGAGATAGGTCTCATGAACTATTTGCCTGGGCTGGCTTCATACCCCGATCCTCCTAATCTCTGCCTCCTGAGATATGGTCTGCCACTGAGCTACAACCCTAAGCCTGAGAAGGAAATTTTTACATATGTATTATCCATGTTGCCAAACATATAAACCCTTGAAAACATTATGCTAAGTGGAATAAGCCAGGTACACAAGGACACATACTGTATGTTTCCACTAAAAGAGTCAAAAACTCAAAGAGACAGTAAAATGGTGGCTGCTACAGACTGAGGGTGGGAGGAGAATGGGGAGCTGGTAGTCAATGGATAAAAACGTTCAGTTTGGCATGATGAAATGTTCTGGAGATGGAACATGGTGATACCTGCACAACAAAATGAATACACATTACAGAACCATATACTTTAACAAAAGTGTTAGGGACTCTTGAGGAGTGAATTAGTAACCTAAAGAATGGTAGATCTCAGTGGATCATCAGTAAACTTAGCTTTTCACTGAAGGCCCTTCAAATATCACCACCACCTTTTCTTGTAGGCTGGTAAGGTTTCCATAGGCAAGAACTGTCATCTGTAGCCAGAGTTATCTTCATAGTATGGCAAACAGTAATAAGTGCAATGTACTAACTCATTTCTATGTTCACATACTAACTCATTTCTATGTTCATTTTCTATGCCTCCCTTCCCCAACTGAGGCACAAATTATTTGAAGACAAGAGATTTTGGGCTTTAAAAAAAAAAAAAATTGCCGTATCTCCAGAGCCTAGAATAGTCCAAATGTTAACAGGCACTCAATGTCTTTTGAACGAATGAATCACCTACTTATGGAGCACTTAATATGTGTCAGGAACTGTTCTATTTCATAAGTATAAACTCAATGTTTAAATTACCATGGACAGTATTCTCATTTTATAAGGTGGGATATAAGGAAACTAGAGCACAGCCAATATTCAAACCTGAGGTCTGTGTGGTTCCACTGGCCCATTTTAATCACACCACATAGCCTTCCACAATATCTGTATATACAGATATGCATTTATACGTACTTTACATATATGGTCATAAATATTTGTAGCTACAAACTGTGTAGCACTTGTCCTTGGGAATAAGAATCCACTCCTTTACCACAGGCTAATGATATAACCTACAAGTGCTCTAGTATTTTATTTAATTTGAGTATGTGATTCAAGTTTGTGTTTCTAATTCTAAAAAGAAACCAGCCACATAAATCACATTTAGTTAAAAAGTCTACAAATTATGTCATAAAGAATGACTGAAGGTTTAGAAATATTTAGCCCAAATAAGAGCTGCTTATTTGGGGATGTGTATGTGTGGGTAGGGGAGGGGTAAAGGTACAAGACAACACATGATTGCAGTACTGATCAAGATGACAGGACCTTCTAAGTTAGATACATGACTTCTTCCTCTTATTAGCAGTGTCGCCTCAGATAAGTTATTTAACCTCTCTATTTCTTCATGTGTAAAATGAGAGTACCAAAAAATATCTACTGTATAATACCTAGCTCATGGTCCAATGCCTGCCTAGCAAGCATGAGGTCCTGAGTTCAAATCCCAGTACCACCAAAAAAAATGTTCCATAGTACCTAACTCAAAGTAATTATAAAGATTAAATAATAAAAGCATTTAACAAAGTACCAGGCACAGTGTAAGAGTAAGTTCAAAGGTTTGTTGTTGTTAATGCCTAGTCTTCATATAGTAAAAAAGTCTGAAGAATATGCGTGGCCAAGGCAAAGAATACTGCTATCGTGAAAATGAGTTATTAATACCAATGTGGGAAAGTTCCTAATGCATAGAAATGGTTAGGAGAAAAAGTGTGACTAAAATAGTCTAATTCTGTTTAATAAAGAATTATCAGTTCCACTAAGACTATTTACCTCCTATGATTTCTTTGCTTGGCCTCCTACAACATATAAATAAAAACACCCCAGAGGATATTAGAAAGTACTACCTAGTATCCAGAGATAAGAATTCTAGTCTTTGCATTGATACTAATGAGCAGTGTGATCTGGGATAAGTCATATGAAGAAAGGACAGAGAACAGTTTATTAGTTGATGTTGCTAAACTCCCAAGATTTATTTTACAAATGCAAAACTTACTTTTTCATGAAATAATGAAGACTTACTGATCCTTTAAAAAAGTAATTCTATTACTAAATTAGAAATTTAGTTAGGAATCTTTCAATCTGGTTATTTGGAGTCAAATGGTGAACTGATCATTTATAACTTAGGGTTATCTTTGTATAACTAATGATTACAGCTGAGCCAGTTTTCATAAAGTCAGTGAAGGGTAGTGGTGAGCAATGCAGGCTGTAGAACCTGACTGCCTAGATTCCACAACAGCTTGTGGAACCTGAGTGACTTCCAGAAGGAGACTAATGCCAAAGCTTATCTGTGATTATAATAATACCTAGCATCTCACAGGATTAAGAATAATGACTAACTATAAATTTACAATCATATTCAATGCTTAATACAAACCTCAAAACACTATTAAACAGTAAAGGTGAGCAGTGTTGGGTTACTTCAAAGATTTCACTATAAGAAAGCAAAAACCAATTCTGGGAGAACTTGTTCTAGAAAAGATACTTAACAAAACTGCTCCATTTCTCCAATATGGTAATTAGTGCTGTTGACCACCAAAACAGGATGCTTTCTCTTTTTTAAATTCCTTTTTATATGGAGTAGTATTGTGAGATTTATAGAGGATTACTCCTTTAGTTTTGATATCTTCCAAATTACAAAAGTAATATATGTATATTGTAACAAGTGAAACAATGAGTCCAGGAAACATAATAAAGGTGGAGGGTCAGGGGGAGGGTATGTGTGACTCAAGTGGTTAAGAGAGCTTGACTAGTATTCATGAGGCTCTGAGTTCAATCCTAGTACTAGGGGTAGGGAAAGGGGAGATATTTATATGGCAAAATTAATTATCTTTTTCAATATCTATTCCCAATCTCACCCCTACAATAACCAAGATTATAGGCACAAATGCTTTTTATAAAATCATTTTCTTCTTTTCAAAATTACTACAGACAGGATATCAAAAACTTACCTCTAGGTATATTGACGGTGGATTATGCTCCCCACCAAATTTGTCCAATAGGGCCTCTATATGTTCCTGTGTCAACTTAATCATTTGCTTGATATTCCACACCTAAAAAAATTATTTAAATAAAGATCACTTAGCACATGGATTAGAAATGTTTTAATGTAGATAAATTCAACAGAGTAACTACCAGTATTCCTTAAAGTTTACAGTGTAGAGATTATATAGTATAGTGTGGTTTTCCCTTTTATTACTAAACATCTTTAATGTATTTTCCCACACCGGTAATAGAATATATTCTCAATATCAAGAGATTCTAATAATACCTAAGTATTCAGAATAAACCAAGAGAATCTAGTTTTCACATCCTCCCAATTCCCAGTCTCCCTAAAAAGGTAAATGCTTTTTTGGGATTGGTAAGTATTCTTTCATGTTCTCTTTTTTGTCATGTATAAGCACACATATATAAAAACACAGAAACATTATATATAAACATAACTTAAGCTTACTTTTTCTACTAAGTAACAACGCTTCAGAATTCTTACCACATCCGAACAAAACTATTTCACTCCTTTTAATATTTGTATAAACATTCCTATTTTTATGACACTGGTAATTTCAACAATCTTCAGACTTCAGTGATTAGATGGACATGGACAATTTTAAAAACACCAATTTTCAGATCCTGAACTTCCACCTACAGTCTCCCCTAACTGATCTGTTTAAGAAGTTCTTCTTGCCTACCTCCCCATTTAAAATCATATTCTATTTTATAAAAGGCAAAGACTTTATCTATCTCAGCTATTACTAATATGCACTGTTCTGAAATGTATAAACTCCAAAGTATCTAACAAATAGGTAAGTTTAAAAGTATACAAAAATCACTTGAGAGAAAAGGAAAAGATAAAAATGAAAAGCAGGATCTTATTTTGTTAGTAAAACACATTTCTGCAAGGTTCCAAGCCTTATTATTCAGCCTGCCAGCCTACAACTCAGAAGTCTAGTGGTCATAACAAAGGTACATACTAACATGTTTAAGATTTACCAGAAGTCAGATTTTTTTCCCTTGGGAAACATGAGTCCAATTTGCCTGGTTTGACAGTAAGACCCGGCTTGCAAAACTGCATCACATCTTAGGTATTATCTACTCGCGAGGCTGAGGCAAGAGGACTGCTGGAGCCCAGGAGTTCCAGGCCAGCTTGGCAACATTGTGAGAACCCATCTCAAAACAACAAGGAGAAGGGCTCCAAGATGGCGGCTCGAGGGAGGAAGCAGAAAGTGAGCCTCCTAAAGTGAAATCTTGGAGAGACGTTGGAGACACACCTTGCAGCCAAGGCCACCAAGAAGAGGCAAAACTTTGACCCCTCCACACCTTCAACCTGTGCAGAGCATCACCCCTTCACGTTCAACAGAGAAACCAGGAGCCCCCCCCCCCACGGCAGCCAGATGCCCGCGCCCAGACGGCTTGGGAAGATGCGGACCACAAGGTGAGCTAAGCGGTACATGGTACTCCCACAGACAACCCTGGGCCAGATCAGCATAGCCCCCTGGACAGACCGACCCCCACCCAGGGAAAAAAAGAGAAACTGAGTAATAAGCAATAACAAAAAAAAAGACAAGTAGGAAAGAGGGTGGGTCGCCCTGAGCACCGAAGGGGGGGGAGGGGAATCCCTCACAGAACTGTAAATAAACAAGCCGGGCCTGGCCGGAGAGGGTGGGAGCAGGGGCAAGCGCCCAGTAATCAGGAGCGGGAAAGCTTGTAAAAGTGGCAGAGAGAGGAAAACTCCACAGGACAGTGGGGAAGACCCACTTCCCATGTGAGCTGTAAATAAACACGCAGGCCTGAAAAAGCAGGTGCAGTGTCACCTTCCCCAGTGTGCTTGGAAAGGGGAAAGCTTGTAGCGGCAGCTCGCCCACCGGACTTTGAGCAAACAAAGCCTGCAGGGCCAGATGAGTGCTAAGCTCACCCCAGAGATCTGCATAAATAACGCCTCCAGCAACAGCAGGCTGACAGCAGCGGGCAGGCAAGCCACAGCCACAGATACCATTCTCAGAACTGTCTCCAGACTCTTTTTTTTTCTCTCTCCCTACCTTTGATGAGAAAACAACTGAACTACACCTGCATGCTGAAAACCTTACTGAAACTCTATTGCATTTGAACTTGGGACACTTGGTGGGTTTTTTTTTTGTTTTGTGTGGTTTTGTTATATTATATTTTTCCCCTTTGATGAGACAACTACAGAACAACTTCTGAGGCATCATCTCCAGGATTGGAGGCTAAGGGACAAACACCAAAAGTATTAAGACTGAAACTTCATTGCATTTGAACTTGGAGATTTTTTTTAAATTTTTTTTTTTTATTTATATATTTTTTTTTCTTTCATTTACTTATTTTTTATTCTTATTCTTATCTTTATTCTTTTTATTTTTTATTTTCAATCCTCTCTCTGTCTCTCTAATGCCTTTTCAGCTTTCTGTTGATTAGTACACTGTCTCTCCCTGTTTATATCTTTGAAACTATTTTTGTTTGTTTCTGTTTTGTTTCTTTCTACTTGTTTATTTTTCCCTTTTCCTTTAACTTCTTTGCTTACCATCCCCTCTCACCCTTCCACTCTAAATATCACTAGTGCTATTATTACAAGACAGAAAATACTAAATTGCACACAGTACAGGGACAATAACAACACCAAGGGCAATGATGGGAAGACAGAAAAAAAAGGGAAACCAGTTTCCCCATAGCAAAAAATTAGTACAGGAACCAGAGGGGAATGAAGAAAACAGATACTCAGATCCAGACTCCAACAAAATGAAGATAAACTATTCCAAAGAACCCAATGAACCCCACAGAATAATTTAAAAGAAGACATACTACAGGTACTCAATGAGAATTTTATAGAGATGATACTGGATATGGTCAACCAAAATGTACAGGAGACACTCAAGAAATTACAAGACAACAAAAATAGGGAATTTGAAAAAGCAAAAGAAGAAATAAAGGAAACCATAGATGCACTGTATAAACACCAAAGTGAAACAGAGAACACGATTAATAAACAGATAAATGAACTCAGGACAAAAACAGACAACATTAAAGAGGAAATGACCCAGGATATGGAAAACCTCAGAAAAAAAGAACGAAACAGAATTGCAAAACAAAACAAAGGCCAATCCAGCAGAATAGAACAAACAGCAGACAGAATCTCAGAACTCGAAGATGAAATGGTAATTAAAGGAAAAACCAAAGAACTATTAATTAAACTCAAGACCTGTGAAAAGAAAATGCAAGAACTCACCGACTGCATCAAAAGACCAAACGTGAGAATCATGGGCATCAAAGAAGGAGAAGAGGTGCAAGCAAAGTGAATGTGTAATACAGTGAACAAAATAATAACAGAAAATTTCCCAAATCTAGAGAAAGATATTCCCATACAGATGCAAGAGACCAAACAGACCAGATCAACAGACCCTCGACATATCATTAAAACAAGTTCAGAAACTAGGGAAAGAATATTGAAGGCTGTAAGAGAGAAAAAACAAATAACATGCAAAGGTAAACCCATCAAAATCACAGCAGACTTCTCAACAGAAACATTAAAAGCAAGAAGAGCGTGGGGCGAGATCTTCCGGGCACTGAATGAAAATAACTGCAACCCCAGGATACTCTACCCAGCAAAACTATCATTCAAAATAGATGGAGCGATGAAAGTCTTCCATGATAAGAAGAAACTAAAACAATATGTGACCACAAAGCCACCATTACAAAAGATTCTTCAAGGGATTCTGCACACAGAAAGTGAAACCCAACATAACCATGAAAGGACAGGCAGCACCAAACTACAGGAAAAGAAAAAGCAAGAAAGTAGAGAGTAACCTCAACTTAGGTACACACAATCAAACCTTCAAACAACTAAGACAACTAAATGACAGGAATCACCACATACCTATCAGTACTAACACTTAATGTTAACTGACTTAATTCACCCATCAAAAGGCACCATTTGACAAAATGGATTAAAAAGGAAGATCCAACAATTTGTTGCTTACAGGAGACCATCTCACACAGAAATAAGCATAGGCTTAGGAAAAGGCTGGAAGAAGATTTACCAAGCCAATGGCCCCGAAAAACAGGGAGGAGTAGCAATACTTATCTCTGACAAAGTAGACTTCAAACCTACATTGATCAAACGAGATAAAGAAGGACATTCCATACTAATAAAAGGGGAAATAGACCAAAAGGAAATAATAATTATCAACCTATATGCACCCAGTGTCAACGCACCCAATTTCATCAAACATACCCCGAAAGACCTAAAAGGATATATTAACTCCAACACAGTGGTTGTGGGAGACTTTAACACCCATTATCATCAACAGATAGGTCATCCAAACAAAAAATCAATAAAGAAATTCAAGATCTAAAACATACAATAGATCAAATGGACCTACTTGATGTCTACAGAACATTTCATCAAACTTCTACACAATATACATTCTTCTCAGCAGCCCATGGAACCTTCTCCAAAATAGATCATATCCTCGGGCACAAAGCAAGTCTCAGCAAATACAATAGAACAGAAATTATACCATGCATACTCTCTGATCACAATGCAATAAAACTAGAACTCAACAATGAAAGTAAAGACAAAAAACATGCAAACAGCTGGAAACTGAATAACTAATTACTTAATGAACAATGGGTCATTGATGAAATAAATGAGGAAATTAAAAAGTTCCTGGAAGTCAATGAAAATGAAAACACAACCTACTGGAACCTATAGGATACAGCTAAGGCAGTCCTGAGAGGAAAGTTTATAGCCATGAGTGCATATATTAAAAAGACTGAAAGATCCCAAATCAATGACCTAATGATACATCTCAAACTCCTAGAAAAACAAGAACAAGCAAATCCCAAAACAAACCAGGAGAGAAATAATAAAAATAAGAGCTGAAATCAATGAAATAGAAACCAAAAAAACCATACAAAGAATTAATGAAACAAAAAGTTGGTTCTTTGAAAAAAAAAAAATCGACAGACCCCTGGCAAACCTGACTAAAATGAGGAGAGAAAAAACCCAAATTAGTAGAATCAGGAATGCAAAAGGGGAGAT